TCCCCTCCTTCCTTTTAAAAAAATAACTCAGTATGGATGTTTGAATTGGTATGGCCTCCACAGACTCATGTGTTTGAATGCTTGGGCCATGGGGAGCAGCACCATTAGGAGGTGTGGCCTTGTTGGAGGAACTGCATCATTAGGTTGGTGGGCTTTGAGGTCTCCTATGCTCCAGCTCTGCCCAGTGTGGAATCCCAGTGTCCTCCTGCTGCCTGTGGCTCAAGATGTTGAACTCTCAGTTCTGTCTTCTACACCATGTCTTTCTGGATGCTGCCATGCTTTTCACCATGATAATGGACTAAACCTCTGAAACTGTAAGCCAGCCCCAATTAAAAGCCTTACTTTATAAGAATTGCCTTGGTCATGGTTTCTCTTCACAGCAACAAAACTCTAAGACATTCAGTAAGTCCATTAATTCTGCCCATATGTGTAAGTGTATGGAGCCACTGACTTGAGTATTGTTAACCTATCAGTGGCCATACACTCTGAACAGAGTTTTAGATCCAATAAAACCCACCTTCAGGGCTGGGAATATAGTTCAGTAGAACCATTTCTACTGAGCAATTCTAGGTCTCTAAGTTTGATTACTAGCTTCAGAGGATCTTCAAAATTTTTAAATTATTCATTCATTCATTCATTCATTTATTGGGAAACTCACTGTGTAGCCCTGGTAACCTGGAACTCAAGTTGGCCTTGAACTCATAGACATCCATCTGTCTGTGCCTCCCAAGGGCAGGAATTAAAAGCCTGCGTTATCATATCCATCCAGAGCCTTCAACTATTGAGACCACAAAAGAGCCTCAGTATAACTTGGTGGTACAACTATCTAGCATGCACAAGACGCTGGATGTGACTCCCGTTACACAGCACGGTTTTTAAAGAAAAAGTTGCATGAATATGAAGGACAGAAATGAAACCTTCAACAAGCTAACGTGCCAATATTAGCCACACGCTCATCCTAAGCAGTCTCCCAGAAAACATGCCTCAGAGAAACAGAACGACACAAATCCAATATTCAAAACATTGTCCACACAAGACTGATTATTCACCTGACATAAGGACTGTAAGTCTCCCACAATGGGGATCTCAAATCACTGTAAATACTGTGGAAATGTAGGTTATAAAAAGACTTCTAATAGTCATCATTCCTGATCAGCAGTATTTGTGTTTAATTCTTTTTTTTAATATGTTTATTATGTATACATTATTCTGCCTGCATGTACACCTACACGCTAGAAGAGGGTGCCAGATTTCCACTATAGATGGTTGTAAATCACCATGTGGTTGCTGGGAATGGAACTCAAGGCCTCTGGAGAAGCAGGCGGTGGGTGCTCTTAACCTCTGAGCCATCTCTCCAGCCCTGTTTATTTTAATTCTGAGTGTCATGTAGGTACAGAGGGATAAGACAAAAAAGCAATGTGGGAGGGGAGGTAGCTGGAGAGATGATTCAGCAGTTAGGAGCACTGCTGTTCAGAGGACTCAAGTTCCATTCTCAGCACCTACATCAGGCCACTTAAAACTGCCTGTAACTCCCAGTTCTGGGTGTCCAGTGGCCTCTTCTGGGCTCTGCAGGCACTTGCATATATATGTGCAGATACAGAAACAGAAATACACATACACATTTGGAAGCTGTCTCCTGTACCTTTAAGAACCAGATCCTGGACACATAGAGATGGCTCAGGGGTTAAGAGTACTGGTTGCTCTTTCAGAGGACGGAGATTCAATGCCCAGCATCCACATGACAGCTCACAACTGTATATAACTTCTCCTGTCCCGGATGCCCTCTTCTGGCCTTCACAGGCATTGCATGCACACGGTGCACAGACATACATGCAGGCAAATCATTGATATACATACAAATAAAGAGTTATAACAACAACAACAGATCATATGATGGAAAAGTAAACATATGACCCAGGAGAGGCTGAGTAAAAACATGGTAGTCATTAAAAATACAGGTGTATGATTTCATACGTACATTATATATGTTATATTTACATGTCACCAACATTTGCTATTTCTGTCTCAGAAAAGACCTCACAACAATGTCTGGCCAATGATAATCAGCAACATGTACCTTTACTGGGGGTCTCATGCATCCCCTTATGTCAAGGGAAACCAGAGGTACTACTACATTTGGGAAGGATGTGACCTGATGCAGACAATAAGGAGGCAGTCAGTGTCAGCTGGCTCAGATCAGGATAGAAAAGCCAAATTGATAAGAGTCTACAGGCCAAAACGGGGGCAATTTGCACCTTAATGAGGGTTAGAATTATAATGGAATAAAATCCATCAAAGCAAGGAGCAGTGGCACACAACTTTAATCCCAGACTTGGGAGATAGAGGCAGGCAGATCTCTGTGATGTTGAGGCCAGCCTGGTCTACAAAGCAAGTTCCAGGACATCCAGGATGTTACAGAGAAACCCCGTCTCAGAAACAAAAACAAAAACAAAAGAACAAACAACAACAACAACAAAGACAGTCTGGTGGCAGGCAAATCTTTGTTCTCTCTGAGTTTGAGGCCAGCCTGGTCTACAAAGCAAGTTTCAAGGACAGCCAAGTTGTCCGAATACGGAGAAAACTTGCCTTGCAAAATCCATCCATTTAAATCTATGGACTTAAAAGGATATTACTATTTTCTGAGACAAGCTCTCAACCATGTAGCCTATGCTTGCCTAGAATTTGCAGAGGCTTTTTTTTTTTTTAAGTTTAAGTGCTAGAACTATAAGAATGCACCACTTTGCTTGGCAAGATATTATATTTAAGAATAACTAGCAAGTTGATGGTGGCACATGCCTTTAATCCCTGTGGTCAGGGAGGCAGAGACAGGCAAATCCCCGTGAGTTCGAGGCCAGCCTGGTCTACAAAATGAGTCCAGGACAGCCAAGGATACACAGAGACACCCTGTCTCAAAAAACCAAACCAACCAACCAAAGAAATATTAGCCAGAGTGGTAGTGCATGCCTTTAGTCCCAGCACTTGGGAGGCAGAGGCAGGTTTCAGGCTAGCCTGGTCTACATAATTAAGTTCCAGGAGAGGCACCAGGACTACTGGAGAAACTTTGTCTCAAAAAGCCAAAAATAGCCAGGCCATGTTGCAAACCTTTAATCTAAGTGTTTGGGAAGCAGAGGTGGGAGAATGCCAAGGCCACCTGGTCTTCATAGTTCATTCCAGGACAGCTAGGACTACTTACAGAGACCTTGCATCAAAGCTTCTTACCAAAACAAAAGAAACCTATGGATCCTCGAAGAAAAGTAAAATAAATAAAGATAAATAAAAGAACAAAGAACTGGATTCTGAATCCTGTCCTCACACTTCCAAAGGGCAGATTTTTCTGCCCTGCTTAAAATCCTGCCTTTGGCTATATGAAACTGATTTTAGATCTCTACAACCATTATAATAGAACCAATCTGTTTTTATTTTAGTGACCTAAAATAAGTAAGTTCAAAGTACTAGAGAGTTACTCTGGATTACTGAGTTAAAAAAAAAAAAAAAGACACAGCTAAATCTATTACAGCTACACTCTGAAGAACTTGAGGGTGAAAAAGAATGTAACTTGTGAAAGGTGCTTAGGTGCTTTCAAGTAGTTCAGGGAGAAAGGAATAGGCAAATTAGCAAGAAATTATGTTTGAAATTTTCAATAAGACTAAGTAAACTATGGGAGCTGGGTATGGGAACAAGAGTAGTTGGTTGCCTGGTGTGCTGGAGGCCCTGGTTCCATCCTCAGCGTAGCTTTAAAAAGAAAAAGGTTCAGAGCTGGGGATGAAGCCCAGTAGAAGTGTGGCCTCCACCTATGATCCTAGCACTTGGGAGTTGGAGGCAGAGGATCAGATATTCAAGGCAAGCTCGGGCTACATTGCTATCTCAGAGAAAAAAACGTTTCACCCTGCAGACGAATACTGCTGAAGGATTGCCGTTACCTTTCCAACATAAGCCCTTTCAAACTTTTTGATTTACGCAAGAAAATCAGAGTAAACACACGGAGAGCGCTTCTGTCAAAGCCCTTCAGTCACCTGAAGCTCGCAATTTATAACTGGGTCTGTTGGGTAGCAAACACTGTGGGGGCAGGCCACAGCGGTGGTCCTGCTTGCGTGCCCCTCATTGCTAGCAGCAGAGGGCTTTACCTGCAGTTCTCCTTAAAGCGGCATTTTCCCTCCAAGAAGAACGGGCAGGGCTTCAGGGACTTGTGGGTGGGATACAGGTAGAGTACCCGAACGCAGGCCGAACCATCCTCCGCTTCTTCGGCGCCCACAACCATGGCATTGTGATATTCTAGCGTGCCCCACGCGCTGTGGTAGGGGGCATTCACTTTAGCACCGCTCAGCTCCTCCAGATCTGGGTCCTCCTCGTCTTCCTCCTGTGCAGAGGAGGTGGGTCCCGGCCGCACCTCGTTCCCAGGGACCGTCTCCGGGTCATTCCCGGGGGCGATGGGAGCTTCCACTTCCTCCGCTATAGCCTTCTGGAAAGCTAAGTACTCAGCATCCTCCTGAGCTGGGCGCTCCTGGTCCACTGCAGACAGCAGCTTGCTCTTCCTGACCGACACCAGGCTGGCCTCGGTGAGCTCAATCAATTCCTTTAGATCGCCCTGCAGCTGGCGCAGGTCCGCCTGCTCGGAATCGTCCAGGCCGGCACCAAGCGCCAGCTCTACCTGCTGAAGCTGGGCCCGGTAGGTCTGAAGTGCAGTCTCCAGGTTGTCCTCGTCCATTCCGACCCACGGAGGCTGTTTTCGGAACCTCTAAGGCAGACAAGACTGAGGGAAGAGCAGTCAGAAGAGCTCAGGACAACGCAGCACCCCCAAAGCGCTAGAGAGCCTTTAGCGCTCCGCCGAACAGTACCTGCACTTAGCCCGCCGCGTCCTCGGCGGTCCGCAACCCGGCCTCCCGCCGCTGAAGCCGAGAAGAGCCTCCAGCCTCGCCAGCAAAGCCTACGCGCTAGTCTTCCGCCCTCCACAGGCACTTCCGCCCGAGAGGCGATGCTGCCGGAAGTGCCTGCGCGCGGGGCCTGCCGGGATTAGGCACCGCCTGTGGTTGGGCCGTCGGTTGTTGTCTCGTCAGCCACCGTGAGGGGTCAACGCGAGGTCGGTGGGGTTAGCAACGCGTCGGCGGCGGCTCCAAGGTCTGAGCAGGTACAGGCGGTCCCCAGCCGGGCTGAGGGGCCAGAGTTCTAGAGTCCTGGGGTAGGGGGATGGAGGCGGCTTCAGAAGCTGGTTCCTGGGCTCCGCGGGCCTGGCAGCGGCTGGAAGCCGAACCCGACCCTCGGCAGAAGCGCTGTCTCTCTAGTAGTTCCCTAGACGGTCGCTGGCCCTGGTTTCTGGTGCTGAGCTGAGGGTTCGGAGAAATGAGCCTTAGGCAAAGTAGGCCGTCATGGGTTTTTCCGGATTACAGATTGGTGGTGTATTCTGAAAGATGACCTGAAGTGAGGGTGGCCTAGCTTTAGCAGCTATGGAGTCGGGGTGAGGGATTTTAACAGAAGAGGGGCGCCAAGAGTCACGAGCCGCGAGGTTTCACATTTAAAAACTAGCAGGCTAGAAGGACCACTGATGAAGCGGGTAGGAGGCCGATGTCCCCGGAACACACGTTGACATCTCTCAGGGTGCCGGGGCAGAATGTACACGCTGCTTTCGGGGCTGTACAAGTACATGTTCCAGAAGGATGAATACTGCATTCTGATCCTGGGCCTGGACAATGCTGGGAAGACGGTAGGTCCTTGTTTTCTCACCAATTCCCATTCTTTGTCTGATGTTTTATTTGGAAATCTAGCCCCCACAACCCCCCAAGACTACAGGTTAGTTACCACCAGTCTCCTGAAGAGCAATCAACAGGCAGAGGTGTGCATGCATGCATGTGTGTATGGGGATGAAGGCCCAGAGCATATGGGTGTGAAGGGATATGTGGGAAGGACACCAGAAAACTGCTCTAGCTGCTGCTAGCTAACCACCTCTCTTTCTTTTCTCAGACCTTCCTGGAACAGTCAAAAACACGGTTTAACAAGAACTACAAGGGGATGAGTCTATCCAAAATCACCACTACCGTGGGTCTAAACAGTAAGGGGGACCTTAGGGATATGAGTTTCGGGGTCCCTTAGAGATGGATGTTGCATGCTGCAAGGTCCATAACCTCCCTGACCAGTGGGCAGAACCTTATCATTTCGTTCTCTGCTCAAGCCCTCTGGGATCGGTAACAGAATGTTTGTTTCATCCTGGGGAGAGCTGGGACTTTGTGTGTAAAGAGTAAGGTCAGGAGCTAGCTTATTCTGTCCTCTCCCCAGTTGGCACAGTGGACGTGGGAAAGGCTCGTCTCATGTTTTGGGACTTAGGTGGGCAAGAAGAGCTGCAGTCTTTATGGGACAAGGTAAGACCCACTACCTGCTCCATGTTGTCTTTCTCTAGATGGCCCCCCCGTAGCCTCTTCTTCTATGTGAGATTCTGTTACCCACATTTACCCTGAAGATTTTCTTTATTTTTTTTATTGTTGGGGTGGGGGGACAAACACATGTCACAGCATGCATGTGGAGGACAGAGGATAGCTGTAGAGTCTATTTCTCACCTTTATGTGGGTTCCAGGGATCAAACTCAGATTGTCAGGCTTGTGTAGCAAGCACCTTTACCTGCTTACCATCTCACTGGCCCTATCTAAAAGTTTTCTCTTTGATCCTATCCCAGGTTCCCAAGTTGCTCTCTGTCTCACTCTGGCAAAACCCAGGGCAAGAATCACCACATCAGGGGAGTTCCCATAGGAGTATCCAATCTTCTGATGAGGCTTTTTCAATCCCAAAGAAAAGCATTGTTCACCAGGGTAGTCTATGAAGAACACTGACTAAAGAACTCAAAGAGGACTATAGCCTATCTTCTTACAGGCAGACAAAAATGGCAGAGTTCCTATATAGGGAGGGACCAAAGCATGTTTACTGGCGAGTCTATCTACCTCATTCTAGCTTGTCATAGTTCTTCTACATGGCCTTTTCCCCATCTAAGGAGGATGTTATCAGAGGCAGACAGCACTCTTCTTTGGGCATTTTAGACATCTGAAACTTCTCACTATACACTTCTGCACTGTAATCTCCTCCACCCAACCTATGTTAGGGTCTGAGTCTAGCACTGAGCAGTACAGTCTCCTGCTCTGTAGTTTGTTGTAGTCCAGTGCTGTGGTGCAGGTGCTTCAGTTATAGTGGTGCTTCTCAGCAGCTATGTGTTTGGGCCAATTGTGATCCCACTTCTCTTTCCTGGGCTTCGCTATGATGTTTCTTCCTGCTGTAACTTCTTATCAAGAGGGTGACATCTGTCCCGCATCCAGCAGGTCTCTGGTGTCCACCAAGATGGATAGAGGACAAGCCTAATCATAGGGCAGTGATGTATATTGTCATCTCCAAACCTTAGACACAGCTGGGGAATCATACCAGTTAATGACTATCTTGAAGAGGACACTTAGATGCAGAGTATGTGTATTGGGGTCATTACCAGGAAGGCAGCAGAGAGGCAGAGGCCAAGGAGAGTGGGAACTTAGCAGAACTGGCTAGGACCGCAAGTCTGCCATCTTTTCGGTCACCAGTGTCAGCAGATACGACTTTACAGTGCCCTTTGGGATGGACAGCCAGGGTGAATATCTGTGCAGTTTGGATATGTAGCCCCTTCTAAGAGGAGGGTAGACAGCAGCAGTTAATTGGTTGTAGAGATGTCATCTTGTCCAGGATGTGACTTTCTAGTGGCTGTCTGGGTTACCCTGACTACTGCCAAACAGGGACAGTCATCCTTGAGGAAAAGGAGCCCAGTGTGCCCACTAGGTAGCCATATTTGGTGACTCAGTGGCTCTTGCTGGGCTTGTGTTGTTTTGGTGGGCAGGACCCATTCTCCCTTAACCCCTCTCCCCTACCAGCTCCAATCCCTAAAGTACTTGAGGTTGAGAAGAGTTTCTTCTAGTTTACTAGGAGGGTCAGGAAGGGGGTCCTCTTTTCCTGCCTTGGTTTCTAGATGTTGTGTCCTGGCTAGAGCCTAGCACCTCAGAAAGGTCTGTCATTAGTAGAGTTAGTATCTGGACCTGGTATTCTACAATAGTGCTACCACATGGGCACTATGGCCCAACACTGTCCTGTTATGTCCAAAAACCATAGGCCCTTTGTTGTGACTTGAGTCTTCCGTACTGATGTCACTTGACTATGTTCTAGTGTCTTGTGCCTGGGGAGTGAGGAGTCTGTGTTGTTGCTACGGGGACATGCTTGTACCTAGGTTCCCTCTCATTTCCTTAAGAGATGATACCTCATAGGGTGTAGCCATGCTGCCCTATCAAGTGAAACACCTAGCAGTGCTTCCATTGGCCTTGGTGAATAGAACTCTATACTGATAAGTTTGTGTTCTGTAACTCTGGCTACTGCTGTCTTCAGTCTAGCACAGTACCACTGATGGGCAAATTCATTTCCATAGGGGGTGCTCTGGTGAACCTTGAGATAGAAACCAAGTCCCTATGTCTGCTGCTTTCATCTGCCTTAGGCTTTTGGTACTTATTCTGCTGACCAGGCATTGTGCTGTTGTCCATAGATCTGTGATAGATCTGTGCACATGCCAGGCTTAGATCACAACTCCTCACACAAGCAGGACCAGGTGGGCTGTCTACCTCTGGCCTGCCCCAGCATGTCTGACTGAAAGAATTTCCCCATGCTGGTTATGCAGGCCTCTTTGCATCTCCCCAACAACACACACTTACAGCCACAGGTGTGACTTCTCCATTGAGGTTTAATATGCCACTCCCATCTCTCTGGCAGCTGTTGGACCTTAAGCCTGGAGGTTGTGATGAGTATATCTAGCTAGTTGGTTCCTAAGTCTTGTGCCTACTCACATAAGACATTGTTTTACAATCTTTGGAGCGGCTAGTGCTACGTGCTCCAAAACTCACATCATCCACTATTATCATAAATACCTCTGCAATACAACCTGCCAGCACTTAGGCCTTAGCAGTAAGCTACCCCATTGCCTTGCCCCAGAGCTGACAGCTTCTGTGTCAGGCCCATTGCAAGCCTGGAGCTGTCCTGCCTGGGTCTGGCTGCAGAGCCCTGCAGAAGGAACCTGGAACTGGCCTCCAGTACTCTATGGGAAGTGTAAGTGGGGAGGGAGTTTTACTGACTGGGGTGGAGTGCGTCCTTTCTTACTTGTCACACAACTTCAGTGGTATACATCATACTACCCTGTCTGCAGCACATTATTTTACAAGTCATTGTTGATTTCTCACTGAGACATGAGCCAGCATGGGCCTGAGGTGAAGTGGCAAATGAATGCTATTTGTTCCATATTGACAGGCATTGTTTTTCTGATTGGAATTGCTATGTTGATCTCCTCCTATGTTTACCTTGCCCTATCTGCTTTGCTTCAACAGTGGGTCCCTTCCTCTTTTTGCTGTTGAAAGCCCAGGACTAGCTATATCCAATCTAAGGAAGCCTGAGTTCAGCACTCCGTTTTGTTCTGGCAGGGCAGCTTCATAGACAGTGCTGATCTCAGCCATAAGCCTCTTTTGGCTTCTCAACCTCTATACCTATCTCTTAACCTTTTCTCAACACCATCTAGCCAGGGCAGCAGGTGGGTTCTCAGGAGCAGCCTCTGAGCAGGAGGAGGTTGATCACCCTGCTAGAGTCAGCAAGCTTCCCCAAAAGAGCTCTGGTATCTTTACTACTAAATCAGTCCCAGAAAGCTTCCTAGCAAGTCTTCCCTGTTGGGGTGTGCCCATTTCTTCATTGTAGCCCTAGGAGAGCAAAGTTCCCACTACTCACTGCCTGTCTCTTCCTCTTCAGGGCCTCTTCTGGTAGTTGTGACACAGGGTCATGCTCTGAGTACTAGTCCCCAGCTTTCTCCTCTTCCTTATAGTACTATGCAGAGTGCCATGGTGTCATCTATGTCATTGATTCCACTGATGAAGAGAGATTGTCAGAATCCAAAGAAGCATTTGGTGAGTGTAGCATGGCCATTCTGGGAGGGAGAGAAAATGGAAAGACCTACATCTAGGGGATTGTGTGGGGAGGGGTGTGCAGGGGTGGGACAGTCTAATCTGGATCCTCTCACATGTCTAGAATTTGCCTTGAGGGAGGCTGGGCTAACACCTGGAGCCAGTGCGAAGAAAGCCTCAGCCATGTTGTTTGGGCTGTCTATTATATAAGGGAAAGGGTGGAAGGGAGCTGTCTGTGTACACCTTTGGGCTTGGGCAGAGCCTGCAGTCATGAACAGGATACAGGGTGCAAGGCACCACCTCTCCTGCTTTCCTCAGAGAAGGTGGTTTCGAGTGAAGCATTGGACGGTGTCCCCATCCTGGTGTTGGCCAACAAGCAGGATGTGGAGGTGAGCCCCACAAAGCTGCTATCGAGCCTTTATCTCCCTTCAGGGAAAGTGACATGTATGCCTCTTCATATTTCCAGAGTCTGGTGTCTGTCCCAGATTCTGTCCAACCCAATCTCCTCTCTCTTCCTGGGACCCTTCTTCCAAACTCTTAGAATCTCCTCCAAACCTTGCCAACTTCACTTTCTCTCTAGTTGTCACAAAGAGCTGTCACCATTAAAATGTTCCTACTAGATGTTCTTATACCCAGAGTATAGGTGCCACCTTTTTTCCCAAGGGAACACCAAGGGCTTGTGTCTGTGGATGCTCCCACAGGTTCTGGGAGTATGGAACCTATAGCAGTACCCAGGTGAAAGCTCTAAGTTCAAAAAGTGGGTGTGGGGACCCTCAGAGATGGCTCAGTGGCTAAGAGCATATACTGCTATTCTAAAGACTTGAGTTTGATTCACAGTACCCACAGGTACACAGCCATCTGGGACACCAGTTCCAGGGGATCTGATGCCTCTGGCTTTCGTAGGTACCTGTATTCATCTGTACATATCTCACATACACAAATGCATATGTATACATAATTAAAAACAAATCCTTAGTTTTAAAAGTAGGAGTGGAGAAGGGAAGACAGTAGACAAACTCTGAGATGAGGTGCTGCTTCCCTTTGGACTTCTGGCCATACAGAGTCCCTGCACTATCTAACAAAAGGGCTCTGTACAGAAAAATCTATAGAGGACATGGAGGCAACCAGTGTCTGGACAGCCAAGGAAACTACTTTCCTTAGACCCTGTGTGTCTTCCCATTTCCACCTGATAGGACCTGTTCTCCACTCATTTGCCTTAGGACTTCCCCCACCATCCCATCTGTGTCCCAAAACTAGTAATAGAGAGAAGTCTCTGGTACTTGGCTGAGAAACACGGGTATTCAATTAAATGAAAAAGGGAACAGAGGTGCCACTGAATACTACAAAGGGTTGTCACCCCTAAGACCATGGGCCCTGCCTCACTTGGCACTTGAGCTCCTGACTTAGGTCACAGTGTCCTGCTGGTAAGTGTTCTGGGGATTGTTCTTGGGGGTGGTGGGGATGTTCTCTTGGGAGCTGTGTGTCAACTTCCAAAATCCCTGGGAAAAACTCATCAGTAGACTTACGGGCCAGGTGTAGCAGCCTCACCACTGGTTTCTGTGAGGCAAGTTGAGCCTTGGGCAGGCTCACCACTACTGATTTTTGGGGGTGAGAAACTGGCCTTCCAGAAAGCCTAAGTGAATAGGAATGGATGGAGCTAAGTGATAGGAATGTTCCTCAGAGTCTCACCTCCCCTGCCAGACCTGCCTCTCCATTCCTGACATCAAGACTGCATTCAGTGACTGTACCTGCAAGATTGGCCGGCGAGACTGTCTGACCCAGGCCTGTTCTGCTCTCACAGGGTGAGTTGAGGCCTCACCTGGAGAGTCCTCAGGGCCAAGATTAGCCCTGCCTCACACATACTGTCTCCACAGCAAAGGAGTTCGAGAGGGCATCGAATGGATGGTGAAGTGTGTCGTGCGGAATGTTCACCGGCCACCACGGCAGAGGGACATCACATAAGCATCTCCAACTTTACAGTCTTGGACTGTTCATCATCCCTAGTGTTGGAAAAGTACTCTCTGCTGGCTTCTGCCCTACTGATGCTGGGTGTTGAGCTGGTTTTCTCTGTTCATTCTTTTATTTGCTTTATGTTTTCTCTAAGACAAACTTTTCTCTGAATCTGGAAAAGTGTAGGTATTCAGAGACAAACATGGGGCATGCCAACCATCTAGCTCTTCATGCCCTACACATACATACCCCCCCTCCCCCCCCCCCCCATCATGGCCTCTCATCTAGAGTCCTGCCCGATAGGTTAGGGTCTAGAACCCTTCCAACCTAGTGAGGAGGGAGAGGAGTGAGGCCACCCCTAGGTTTGCCCGCTAGCGCATTCCAAAGTGGAATTTGAGATCATTCTACGTGAAATGCTCTATCTTTGGCAGCTGCTTTGTCTAGCTTGTCCATGGAGAAGCTAGACAAACCCATTATGAACCCATTCTCAGTCTGTTTTATCTCCAAAGGAGAGAGCTTATGTGGAAATGCTTGTAGTCCACATTTTGCTGAGTGTGCATGTCAGTGCACCCTTACACAGGTTGTGTGGTATCCTGAGGGCACGGCTTTCACTAGGTCAGGTGTTGCTATAGCTAGTGCAAGTGGGCATCATATGCTTTGAGTTAGGTGGGATGGGTCCCTACAGGGTCCAGGTCAGTGAAGTGCTGAGTTTGCATCTCCAGATGGGTGTGAGGTATGGGTTTCTAGTGAGCAGCAGCCATGCTGGGGCTGACCATGCCCACTAGGCCTGCTTGGTTAAATTCTTCATCATGTGGCCAGGACAAGGTTATAAAATAAAGAGCTGAGGTGGCTTCTGTCCAACCATCCCTTCAAGCAGTTAAATCCTAGTTCCCCACTATCTGGGTTGGTGGTTATAACCAGAAACTGCTATTCTGGAGTGCCTTATGAGCACTCCAGGAGCCCTCGGGGAGGTTTGGAACTGTGACTAAGCCGCAGTCCAAGTTCAGTTCAACCTCCCCAAGAAGACCTGGGAAGGATGACTGAGAAGTTATGAATCAGGGGGTTGGGTGCTCTGATTCATGGAGAAGTCCCACAGATCTGTGATTATGAGCTGGTTTGAGTTTTTCCTAGTGGATCTTCCTGGAAATTAAAGAGTAGATTGTTCATAAAGTGGCCAAACTCAGGGGAAGTCCTCTATCACGGGGCACCAGATATCACAGGGGTCTTTCTGCCCACCGTTGCCCAGTTTTGTCAATGTTGAGGAAGACAAGGGGCTTTATTTAGTGACTTTTGTCACACCTTATGGTGGTCATCCAAGTGTTGTGGAACTTGCTGGCTTGGGAGCATCGTGGGATAAAGCTTCCTACTAAGGTTGCTTATTTGCTTTTGCAGAGCCACAACTTGAGAATAATTGTTTCTGAAGAAGTATAAGGTTGGAGTGACATGGTTGAATAAAGTCCTGTGTGCAGTAGAGTTTAGTTAAAAGGAAATGTGTGTATAACTACCTATTCAGCAACTGAAGCAATTGTGGCAACAGTGCCTGGTCTTGAACTTCACTATAAGGCCACAAGGGCTTGTGGTGGTGGTGGTGATGAACTGTTTTCCTGGGTTTAATGGGGCCTGCGCAGCTGCCACAGCCCTTTAAAGGAAATGTCCTGGAAAGTCACAAAGCCCGTAACGGTCCCTTCATACTTCTCAGTCCCTTCACAGAAGTAAGAGTAGGCCACACAGGCCACTAAGTTCAGAGAACCAACAAGAAATCCTTAAACATTAAACAAGGCACAAATATAGGTAGGTAATAGGAAAAGCAGGAACAGAATGTCCATGGGAAAAATAAACCTGTTCAAAGAGGAGCTTCAGGCTAGACTGCCTGATGAAAATCCTGAGCCTGTATGTTACAAAAGGGAAGGAGGGCGAAAGTGAGTAAAAGCTGAAATCTGACATTTCCTGCAACAAGCCTATCTGGGTTGCCTCTTTTTCAGCATCAACTTGGCTAATCAGACTTACCTTTCCAGGGATCTTAACTTGTCCATAAGCTACAAACTTCCTAGTTGAAGCAAGTGCCACATAATTGCTGCCCTAAACTTGAACAGCTGGCACAAGTGCTTTTAGGGTCCAGGCTACACTGAGTATTCCTGCTCTTAGGTGCCTGATGAAGTGGGAGGAAGGGTGCAGGGTCAGGGAATAGTTGAAATCATTCTTTCTCCTACAGCTGAAGTCCCAAGGTCCTGCATGCCAGTAAACCACCAGGAGCAATTATGCCAGATCAGGGTGAGCAAAGCATGTTCTAGGCAGAAGCCTGCTATGTGCCAAGTTAGCCTAAATGTCAGTGACAGTTGGGGGCAGTGTGAAAAGGCTATGGTTCCTCATGCTCCCTGCAATAATGGTAGTTCTCTTGGTTAAGCTATAGAACTGTGCATACTGATGTGGTGGGCACACATGGTCTGGCTGGTGGTAGGGACAATATGTGGAAAGATGAAGGAAGCAGCTCCTATTGATCTGGAAGCTGGCTGGTCATGGAGAACACTGCAGGTCTGAAAGGGGATCTTCTCAGACCTTTCTATCAGTCTTTTTATGTAACTTTGACTGTCCTGGATCTAGGAGGGATCCATCTGACACCTCCATGACACTTTGGGGTGGGGTTTCGGGGGACTATCCTGGAAATCACAGCAATCTGCCTGCCTCCCCCTCACTGAGTGCTGGGGTTAAAGGTGTGTGCCACCACACCTGGCTGACAAACCCAGGACACCATCCTGATATTATTGGTTTTATTGGACAGCCTACTCCTTCAGTAATACAGACACAATGTCAATATAGGCCATTGAGGTTTCAGGGCTTCTCACGGGGAGCTTCAGATAATGTTGAACAGCCAAGTATAGTCTATCTGTGTTCACTGGGGCTTCGGCCAGATGACCTGTGTAATACTCCGCTTCCTGTTAATAGCACCGCAAGCCGGACACAGTCTAGAGGCCTGTGGAGATAGTTGCTAGCCTCTGCAGCCTGGCTAAGAGCTCGCCCTAGGCCCCTCAGCCCACCACCTGGGGAGATGCCTGATGGGCAGGAGAGGGTCAGACGCCAACCTGGAGTTGCAGTTGCCAACAGGCCATGCAGCGGTAGAAGTCGCAGGAGGAGCACTGGAAAAGCACTGTGTCCCCAGTTGCACAGGCCGGGCACACAAATGCTACAGTAGGAGGTCTAAGTGAGTACAGTCTGCCGTGACCTGCCATAACCAACAGTCCCTATACCTGTAGCCCCTACTGCTTACTCCACTCAGGCTTCACATGTTCACAGGGTGCTCTAGGAGGAGGTTGCACGGGCTCTGAATTATCAGCAGAGCTCACACTCGGCTCTGACGTCTGTCTAAGGAAGGATGAGATCTTACTCTGAGTCTTCTCAGGTTTCTTGGACACTGAGGGGCCTGCAGATAGCAATCAGTATAAGCGTAAGTGTTTCCCTCCTGTTAGCTCCCAGGTGCAGTGATGGGGCTCAGGGTAACAGGACAAGGGTGGAGGGAGTCCTCAAGTGAGCCCTCACCTGGTTTTGTGTCTTCATGGGTAAGCTCAGACGGCAGAGTTGTGCTCTCCTCTCTGTGATCTGGCAGCTCTAAGCTCTTGCCTGTGGTAGGTAAGCCCATTAGGTCCGCACAGGTCTGCAGGAACTGAGGCTTGTGGTGGCGACGCACAAACATGCCAAACCCTGTGGGGAACTTTGCTTAGGCTCTGCACTTTGCACATAAAGCACCCTTCTCCCAGAACCTATGACCTACATGTAAGTGATACGTACTTTGTAACAAGGGTAAGTGTTCAGGTTTTTCAGTGGTCAGTGCTGCCACCACAGCCAGGACCTTGTCCAGGTCATCATCCTGTTTGTACACCCTCAGAGCTGCTATAAACTGGCTGTAGCTTGTAGTTCCCAGAGCCTTGTGGACATCAGACAGATAGGTACTCGCAGCAGGCTGGCCAGGTTTTTCTACCGCACACCCCACTTTTGGACAATTGCTGGTATCTTCTGGTGGGAGAAATGTTACTGGGGACTGTAATGGCTTGGGGAGTTCCCCCACCCTCCCATTTCCTTTTCAGGAACCCTTGTAGAGTCTGTCAGCTGCTCAGGACAAATGGGTTTAAGAAACAAGCAGTCCAGCATGACTCTTCAAGGATTTTTAAGTCCACCTGAGGTCTTTAGGAGTCAGGTACCTTTGCAAGTTAGATGAGTAGACAGGTGAGGTCTCCCCTGGTTCAGGTGCTCTCCAGTGTCCAGTTGCCTATCTATACCTTCGGACAAGGTCAGTTTAGACTCCAGCTCTCTCCTTCCTGAAGAAACATGCTCCTGAGACTAGACCTCATAACCCTCAGACAGGAAGGGGATCTGACATCAGGCATACATCACAGACCCACCCAACTGTCTTGTAGGGCCCAGACAATGAGTCCAGCTCAAGGGTACAAGTACACACACGAGGCAGTTCAGTGAGTGCTGAGCCCAGAGGGTGAGTTTTCCCAATCAGATAAAGCCCCTCCGCCACACCTGCCCTGCACTGGAACAGGAACTGCCTCTGTGGAGGGGCCATTTCAGCTGTTCAATCAGGACAGAAGTAGGAAGGTGACCAGCAGCCAAGACTCTAGCATGAATTGCCCAGGGGCAGGTCTCTTTGATACGTAGGCTAAGAGACGGAGCTCACCCAACAAACAGTGCTACTTGCTACTTTAACCATGGCTACTTTAACCATGCAAGAGCATAGGGATTCATACTATGCCCATTTCAGCTGTAAACTGCCCTCCAAGTCTGAGATTAAAGGTCTAGCCTGGAACCTTGCTCACTGGTGACGTCCACAGCTGACTGTGCTTGCTCTCCGAGGGGAAGGCTGTGCCCTGGCTGGCAGCCACAGCCTTGGCCTGTTAGCTGGAAGCAGACGTCCTCAAACTGCTGCTTGTGGTGGGGTCGCACAAATTGGTAGAAGCCTGTGGGAAGTAGGTGTCTGAGTCCGTGGGCTCCCTATACTATGACTGATGGGCTAGGGACTCTATGGATCATGGCCTACCCACTAGGCCTTTTCCCTGGGAAGCAGAGACAACCCTGGGTACTAGTGGCCCTCCTAACCAGTCCCACCCCACTGCTGTGGTAGTATTCCTATAGCAGAATTTTTAAGGCCAGGGTACCTTTAAAAAGGTTATGCTTCTTGGGGTCTTCAGCAAAGAGGCAGGTAAGAGAGGCCACTAGAGCTTCAAAGTCATCAGAACCCTTATAGTGCTGCAGAGCCTGGGTAAAGGTGTCAAAGTTGGCTTGGCTTAGTGCTTGCTTCACTGCCACCATGAACATCTTGGCTTTGCCTGCCTGTGTGCCAGCCACTGGTTCCTCCTGCAAGACATATAATCAAGAGCCCTATCAGACTGAGCCCTTCCCTCCTTCCTTAGAGGCAGTATAGAATTTAGGGTGCCAGGGTATAATGACTTGTCATTCAGGCTACTGCCTGTGTGAACCATCTACCAGGGCAAAAAGCAGACAAGGCTGCCAGAGAAGCAAGGTCCAGTTCTGGTGTGTGGTACAGCTCAGGCTCATCTGAGATCATGCCTATGTGGCCCCACAGCAGATGTAGGTCTAGAGGACACAGGCTGTACCCACTTTTGTACATCTCAGACCTCTAAGGAGCTGTGTAAAACAAAGCAGTGATGCCCTAGCAGTTCCAAGTGTACCATCTTCAGGCATCAGCAGGCTCAGGCCCTCCACATATGTCTATCTCCCAATTCATCAGCCCTCCTGGTTACTGCCTGATACTTACAAGCAGGATAAGGACAAAAGCCACTACATTTGGGGCTTACCAGCAGGTAAGGGGTTAGTGATTCAGGATGTAACAAACTCTTCATCTGAGACTAGGAACACACTGCACCTACTCATGGATAATTCAGTGTCCACACTCAGAAAGAGAAGTAATAAGATTCTGGTGGAGGAAAACACAGCCAACTATAGATCCCAAACCAAATGACCCTAACAGGCCAGATTCTAGCAGAAAAGAAAAAGATCTCTTGAGTAGGGCTGGAAATGACAAGGGTCTTTTGCCAAGCACTGGCACTTGGGAAGTAGAGGCAGGGGAATCAAGAGTTCAAAGTCATTCTTGGCTACATAGTGAGTTCAAAGCCAACCTTTTTGTGACACTGCCTCAAAACTAAAAAACGTGGAGAGGGATGGCAAACTGAAGGCCCCAGGTTATCAACATCATAGCTGCTAAAGTCTAGCTGTACTCTTGCTTGGTTAGAGGAAATGGGTACCAGAGGCAAGATTCCCACATGTGCTCACAAAGCAGCTAGCTTAGCTACAGAGTTGGCTAACATACCGGATGGCTGACCAGCCTGACCTTCCTCCTTCCTCCTTTCTGCTCGACAGATAGCCTCTTCTCACACCGGAGAGACAGGGTGGAGGAGCTGAGTGCCTGAGGGAAAAACAGCTGTGGTCCCAACCCAAATCCAGAGTTCCCAAAGCAC